ACGTCTGCACTGCAGCAGCAGAAGCAGCAAAAGCAGCAGCAACAGTAGTAGTTGCTACATGTGCTGCTGCGGGGTGCTAGCATAGAGGGTTTTTGTCTATAGGTGTAAACCCCAAACCCTAAACCCTAAACCCTAAACCCTAATTTGTGTTTTAGTTAGTTTATCTAAAACAACTGAAGGTTGCTGCTAGTAAGCCAGCAGCAGAAAGAGAACAGCAGCAACAAACCCTAAACCCTAAACCCTACTAAACCCTCTTTAGGGTTTAGGTGCTGAGAGGTGCAGTGCTATTTAGGGTTTAGGGTTTAGGGTTTAGGGTTTATAAGAAAGGGAAAAGAAACAAAAACACCAAACCACCGATATCTCTTTGGGGCTGCATGCGCTTGCCCCTGGCCCCTAAACCCTAAACCCTAAACCCTAAACCCTAAACCCTAATTTGTAGATGTAGATGTTTCTGTTTCTTGTATTTATATAAACCACTAAAATTTATTTTTCTTTTTTTACTACCCCATAAGTTTTGTTGCATAAACCCCTGAACTCCTGTTGCTGCTGCTGCTGCTGCTGCTGCTGTTGCTGCTGCTGCTGCTGCTGCTGTCGTTGCTGCTGCAGCTGCTACTCCTGCTGCTGCTGCTGCTGCTGCTCCCCTTTTTGCTGCTGCAGCAGCAGGGGTTTTGTCTTCGTTTGGGGCTTATACGCGACACCGAGGCGCCGTCAACCCCCCCAAACCCTAAACCCTAAACCCTAAACCCTAAACCCTAAACCCTAAACCCTAGACCGCAATGGCAGACAGACACAGCGACTCAGTAAAGGAGAAGCTTTCTCTGAGCCTCGATGAAATCATTGCTTTGAACAACAAGCAGCAGAAGCAGCAGCAGCAGCAGCAGCAGAAGCAGCAGAAGCAGCAGCAGCAGCAGCAGCAAGATAACAATCAACCAGCAGCAGCAGGACCACAAAGAAGAAGAAGAAACAACGCTGCTGCTGCTGCTGCTGCTGCTGCTTCCCCCTATGGCGGCCGCGGCTACTCTGATCCTTATCACCACAATGGCAGTAAGCAGCAGCAGCAGCAGCAGCAGCAGCACCAGTAGCAGCAGCAGCAGTAGCAGCAGCAGCAGCAGCAGCAGCAGCAGCACCAGTAGCAGCAGCAGCAGCAGCACCAGTAGCAGCAGCACCAGTAGCAGCAGCAGCAGCAGCAGCAGCAGCACCAGTAGCAGCAGCAGCAGCACCAGTAGCAGCAGCAGCACCAGTAGCAGCAGCAGCAGCAGCAGCAGCAGCACCAGTAGCAGCAGCAGCAGCAGCAGCACCAGTAGCAGCAGCACCAGTAGCAGCAGCAGCACCAGTAGCAGCAGCAGCAGCACCAGTAGCAGCAGCAGCACCAGTAGCAGCAGCAGCAGCAGCAGCAGCAGCAGCACCAGTAGCAGCAGCAGCAGCAGCAGCACCAGTAGCAGCAGCACCAGTAGCAGCAGCAGCAGCAGCAGCACCAGTAGCAGCAGCAGCAGCAGCAGCAGCAGAGTTTCAAGTTTTTTTTTGTTTTTTTTTTTGTTTTGTTTGTGCAGTGCCGGGCGTTGGATATTCCGTTAAGATCATAGGCCTCCCCACTGGTGAACGAGGGTTTAGGGTTTAGGGTTTAGGGTTTAGGGTTTAGGGTTTGTGTTTTGTATGTTATATAAGCATAGACTGAGTTGAGTATATTTAGTGTTTCGGGTCTAGCATACCCCTTTTATCATTTGTGAGGGTTTAGGGTTTGTTAGAGTGTCTTACAGCTCCTTAGGGTTTATGAGGGTTTATGAGGGTTTAGGGTTTAGGGTTTAGGGTTTAGGGTTTGTGTTTCAGGTACCCCGTGGCCGCGGGTTGAGGGGATGGTGCGAAGGTCCTTCGGCCGCTGCGGCCCCATCATAGCGGTGATACCGAGGAGAGACGGCGAGGCGTGAGGGTTTAGGGTTTAGGGTTTAGGGTTTAGGGTTTGTTAGGGTTTGTTAGGGTTTGTGAGGGTTTGTTAGGGTTTGCTGGGGTTTGTCGGGGGTTGCTAGGGTTTAGGGTTTAGGGTTTGAGCGGCTGCAGTGAAGCTGCAGCAGCGCTTTCGTTGGATGCCCCGCTACCTAGGGTTTAGGGTTTAGGGTTTAGGGTTTAGGGTTTAGGGTTTAGGGTTTAGGGTTTGTGTTCAGGTGGATTCAGTTTGCTGATGTTGCTGCTTGCCGCGTTGCTCTCACCGAAATGCAAAACGCAAAAGTTGGGGGACAAACCATCACTGTAGAAAGAGTGAGGGTTTAGGGTTTAGGGTTTAGGGTTTAGGGTTTAGGGTTTAGGGTTTGGGGTTTAGGGTTTGGGGTTTAGGGTGTATGTACACCTCAAGTCCTACCACCGAAAAGCAGCAGCAGCAGCAGCAGCAGCAGAACCACCAGCACCATCAGCATCACCAGCACCATCAGCATCACCAGCAGCAGCAGCAGCACCAGAAGCAGCAGCAGCAGGAGTAGCACCACCAGCAGCAGCAGCAGCAGCACATCAGCAGCAGCCGCAGCAGCACAGCAGCAGCAGCAGCAGCAGCACCCTCAGCGTATGAACGGCATAAAGTATAAATTAATAGCACCACACAAACTATTTAAATAAATTTATTTATTTATTTATTTATTTTATTTATTTATTTTATTTTATTTATTTATTTTATTTTATTTTATTTTATTTTATTTTGTTTGCTG